GTGCATTGCATCATCGAGCTTTAATGAGCTTCGTCGCAGCACATGTATCTGTGGTTTAGTTTCTTTTGAACGAGATAAGATGTTGCATGAAACTTGGCTGTATTTCATCCAGCGCAGGGCATAGTTCTTGAATAATGTCTGCCAAGAGCGGCAGCTTACGCTGTGCGTGGGGTACCACCGAGTGATGGGTGCCGCTTGTCAGCAGAGGGGTGTAATTCCCAGTCCTGCTGTGTGTTGGAGCAGCTGGGAGAAGCTGGATGCTCCGGGTGCCGGGGGCAGAGGTGCTGGTTTTGTGCAAACCCTTCCTGCTGCTGCAGTCAGAGGCGCGGTGCACTGAAAGGCACCCTTTGCTTGCTGAATTCCTGGAGGCTTTTAGGAGTCACTGCTGTGCCTCTCGTGGGGTTAGCAACAGCTGAATTTTTCTTAGTAGCCTTGGTTTATAAACCTTTGGGTTTATAAACCCAAAATAACCCAAACCATAAAGTTACTTGAACAAGGAAACATCCTAGATTAATTCTGGGTATTACAAGGGAGAATCCTCCTTGTGCTGACCTCTGTTCTTCAACAGCTCCCATCACCCATGTCGTGTTGATCAGGCATCACAGCATATTGTTTCTTAATAACCACAAAAACCAAAGTTTTTCTTTATTGTCAGGAGAACTTCAGCAGCTCAGCCTTTACGCTGTCTTACCAACATGCTAGATTGTCAGAGAAACTCTCTTTGGTAATTAATTCTCCATTGCTTTTTACTGGTTAGCTATTCTCCTGAGATTGCAAAGCGTTCCTCTCCTAAAGAGGGGTGCCAGTTTTCGTACGGCACTGGTACCTGCCTGTCTGTTTCCGAGAACCTGTGCAGAAATACAGCCAATTCCCACAGGTACCTTCAACTTAGCAATAGCGTTTATTACAATTTTTTAGTGTAGAATATCGTGACGGGTCTTGTTACTCAGTTCCCCTTCTTTCTGTTGGGGAACAACCACGGCAAAGATTTAACTTTAAGCAGAAGCATGGACAGGAGCCAGGAAGTGTTGCTTTATTACTGGTGTGTTTGTTACCTGTACCGGGATGCACTAGACCTGAACCTCAGACTAAGAAATAATTGTTTTAAAAAGGTAAATATTTGCTCATCAGAACATGATAGGAATCTTGGAGACTATTGTACAGTAGCTGTTTGCTTTCTGCGTGCCTTCTGTAATCTTCTGTGTCTCAGCTAGAAACATCTCAGAGAAAATGAGAATAGCAATATGCAGGTAAAAATATTTTGCACATTGTGTCTGTTAAAAACCTGTGCATGGAATTATGGGTGGTGGTGACATTTCCTGGACTTGCTTCACTGTAGCTGGCTGGAGACAAAACCGAGCAGAGAAACAGGCAAAAACCAGTTCAGTGAACCTGCTCTAGAAACAAGCCTGTATCCCTGGTCCTTCAGCTGGGACGTGTGCTGCTCCTCCTCCCTCCATCTCTGCTTTTGAGGGTGGAAACAGAGGACAGAAGTGCGGTGGAGGCAGAAGTTACGTGTTTCGACATGGGTGGAAGAGCCTGAGATTGGTAGCTCATAGGGGAGAAGGAGGAGTAAGGAAAGGAGACTTTGTGATGGAAATGGGAGGTAAAGCAAACAGAATCACAGAATCACAGAATGGTAGGTGTTGGAAGGGACCTCTCTGGGTCACCCAGTCCAACCCTCCTGCTATGATCCAGCTCTGCAAGGGGCCACGTGGAGCCGACTGGAAGGGGCAGGTGATACCAAACCATAGCCCTGAATGAGTTGCCTTGCGCCAGGCTGAGGCAGCCCGAGGTCTGCACGCCTGCTGCGGAGCGCGGCAGAGGAGAGATGTTGAGGGGCTTTGCTTTGGTCCAGACTGGGTGCCTTCTTCAGTAAGCGATGGTAACGTTCCAGCAGTCGCTATGCCAACCTTCTAGCACTGGCGCGATCCTCTGAGGCGGGGCTGGACTGCAAAACAGTCCAGTTCAAAGGGATGCGGGGCAGAAGGAACCTGAGAACTAATCTGCATGATTGTAGGTAATTTGTGCCAGAGAGTGTGGACTGATAAATGAAAATTCCATAAAAAGTCAGGAAAGGAAAACAGGGAAGGAGGAGGACGGGGACACTGTGCCCACCCAGGGCTCTGCCAGACCCCTTGAGCATTTTAGCATGAAGTGGCTTACGGATGGTGACCTAGGGCATTGCTGGAGTAGCAGGTTTTATAAATGTAATGGCAGTTAGCTCCTTCTTGTTTTTTTTTTTTTTTTTTCCTCTTTTGCTTGCGACAGTCCTCCATGATGGTATATGCATTTTATAATTATTCATCAAGATAAATTCTCAGGAAGCGGTGTTGCAATTTTAGTGGGGTGAGTTTTTCTTTCCACCGCTCCCATCTTGCTGGCGCACGCACGACATGGAGATCTGAAATATTGCTATTAAAAGATGCCTGTGCAGGTATTGCTCAGCTCAAAAATTGCAAAACCAGACCTTAATGTGTGTATGATAGACTTTTAATGTAAAGGCACTGACGGTAGACTGCTTTTTGTGAGTGGAAACTTCCAAAGCTGATACGTGTGCTTGCAGCTCGTCATTTATTTAGGAGTAGATGCATGTATATAAAAGATGACCTCAGTGATGCTGGTTTTGTTATTGGAGATTGAAGATCCTGTGCAGCCTGCTGTAGGAGACCCTGCTTTGGCAGGGGGGGCTAGATGACCCACAGAGGTCCCTTCCAACCCCGAACATTCTGTGATTCTGTGATTCTGTGATTTCTTGGGAAAAACAGGACATGTACCCAGGGCTTCTCAAATAAGATGCTCATCTCAGTGCCCAAATCCTCTGTTCCTGTAGTAGGGTTTGGGTGGAGTGGATTTTAGAGGGCACAGGAATTCTGAATCGAAAGCTGGTGTTGAACTGGGTACAGGGCTAGGTGTAGGCACGCGCACCTTGACAGTGGTCTGGTTCTACCTGATTTTGTCAAGTTGTGCCCTTTATTCTCATGCGAGGGGAAATATTGGAAAGGGGAGTTAAAAGTATTCATCTGTGATGTAGAGAGGGCTTCTGGGGATCTCAGTGTTCCTTACCGTGAGTGAAATACCTGGTGTGTCCTGTGCTTCCCCTGGGCAGGGCATTGGGATGAGTGGAGCTGGATGCGTCTGCTTGGTTTGCACCATCTTTTCTCCAGCTGTTACTTCATAAATCACTCTATCTCTGTGCATTTGGCAGGTAATTAGTGTACCTGAGCTACCAGGCTTCTCTCGTTGTGCAATCTGCGGCTGCGGCGAATGCAAAGGACTGATACAAGCTCTTGGCTCTGCCAGCCTGATGGGTGAGGCTGTTTGCTGTGCCTTGTCATCCCGTCTTTTAATTGCACTGCTGCAATCCGATTACAGCCCTCGCTGATGTCAGGGTGCTTTATTTTGAGCCTGGCCTCCGTTGTTTTTGTGTCAAATACTCCTTGATGTGCATTTTACCTTCATATGCTCTTCCTGTTCTTTTTTTAAAAATATCTAAAGCTCATAAAGATTCATGGCATGCAACTCATCCTTGAATATGACCTTGAAATAATGAGAGATTTCTGATCTGCTCCATGATTATGAAGCAAAGATAGGAGCTGTCAGAAAAAATAACTGAAACAGCACCCTAGCTGACAAGATGTCTATTCCTGACGCCGCCACAATTTACCTTCATTGCCTCCCCTCCTCCCTCTTCGCTCAGTCATTGTAAGCAAAGCAGAATCTGATTTTTTTCGCACAGATTTGCCAGATTTACCCTGTTCTCCATCTTGTAGATATTTCCAGTCTCCTCTTTGTCCTGGTTCTTGGCTTTTTTGCTCTTCCCTGAGCACATCTCAGCAGTAGGATACATATTTTGATGCAAAGGGTACACATGCATCTTTTTAATTTCCCTTTTAAACCTAGACTAAACCTAGCTTTTGGTAATTGAAGGGGCTATAGCTTGTCTTAGGCCACGTGAAGCAATTTCTACAGCCGGTTTCAAGCTCGGAGCTTGTCCCAATGTAGAGGAGGCCTCAGTTATCCTGGTAACAACTCCAGGACAGCCCCACTTTGGGGCTGACTTTACTGAAACACTGGAATCAGCAGCGTTTATCAGCTCTTAGCTGTCCTGATGTAGCAACCACGGAGAGCAGCCTCTGAAATAAGGGTGGAGCAGACACCGCTGATGACAAGCGTGGACTCTCAGAGTTAATTCTTACCTCCACCTGTGACTCATAGCCTTCCAGATAGGGAGTTTCCATGCAAGTTGCCTGGAAATACTTTCATAACTTGGGCTCCTCAAATCCAGGCAAAATATTGCCTACTCTAAGGAATAAATATATTAAGGAGAAAATTGATCATGCTTTGAACCAAGGTATCTTCATTTAGTTCAGGCTGAGTTTTCCTTCCTGTGTGTAAGGACAGAGAGGAAAGAGGAGCCTGCTTCATTCTGGCTCTTGCTGCTGGAGCTCCCTTGCTGGAGTCGTGGGACGAGCTCTGTGCTGTCGTGATGGGCTCGGATCCAGCCTTCAGAGGACCTGGGGAACATGACAGACATCTGACCTCCTTTGTCAGCGGACAAACACTGGTACTACACTGAATTTTCAGTTTCCTGAGGTTTAAGGTAGTTTATTTTACCAGAATATTTTGGTAATTTCGACTCCCTTGATTCCCCTGACTACAAGAAGTTAGCAGCAGGACTGCGGGTTGGGTGCAACTTGCCGTGGCTGTAGGAGCTGATGATCTGTGCTTTGGAAGTAGTCTAGGTTTCCTACTGACTCCCCAGTTTTTCAGTTTCTGATCAGGCTTGGCTTGGAGGCCAGTGCTGGCATGATCCAAACGAGGAACTTCAGGGCTTGTGCTGGAAAATTCTCCAGGCAGCTGGAGAGCTTAATCCAAGCTAACAAACACCATATAATTTAGCTGGCAAAAGAGAGAGAATTGCTTTTTAGTCATGGTTTTGTATCCCCTTCATCTGACAGACCATCCCAATATCTTTCTGGAAATAATGAGGAACCCACCTGGTTTTGGGCATCTCACTGGGACGGTAGGGCAAAGCGGTGCGTCCTTTTTCATGCATTGCCAGTCTCAGGGCTTTGTTTTCCTCCTCCTCCAGGGATCAATGTCTGCAGCAGGAACTTCTTTGAAGCAGGAGGGCTGCGAAACAACAGCAGCTCACTGCTCAGTCAGCCCCTAATCCCATCTGGGGCCAACGGCAGCGAAAACCACTTTCCGAGGTGGGTGGCTCAGGTGCAGTCGCTGCTGGTGAGGCTGTGAGGCAGGGAGAAACAAGAAGCTGATGTCTCCTGCTGTCTCACGAGCCCACTGCCACACGCTCTCTTGTCCCTGAAGAAGGTAACCAATACTCCGGGGAGTGGCTCTCTTTGTCAGGTTTTATCACTCAGTTCTGCTGTTGTCAATACCTAGATGTGCACAGGGAGTCCAGATGAACGAACTGGTATCTTATCTTGGCTAGGAAGATATCTGCAGTTACCAACCAGAGAGAAACGGGCTCCCTGCAAGAAGCAGCTTGTGGTAGGATATCAGTAACTTGCTGATATAGCTGTGGTGTGACTTTTAGGAGTAAATAATGAAAATGACTTGGATAGGGACTGACTCGTGCACTGCGAGAGGGCAGCACTGCTTGTGATACAACACTGGATCTTGATCATTTTGTGTGATTACGAGAAAACTGTTACAAGTTCAGTAATATTTAATTTGAAAATTATCCTTTTCTGCTGTGATTTTCAAATGCTTGGCCTGGCACACCGCCACTTGTCCACGTCTCCGCCCCAGGGTGCAGTGATCTGTCTGCAAGAATTGACCGAATTTCAGCAAACACATTCTGGTGCTGCACATGTGCGATTTGCCCTTCATACGGCTCTGCTAACTCTTACTATACCCTGCTGTACTTCTTTTACGATGGCTTAAATAGACGGGTCTTTTCCCAGCTTCCAAGCAATTAGGGAAATTAAACTCTAGCAGGGGAGCGTTGCCTTGGTAAGAGGTGAAGGGAGGGAGACAGGCATGACATACTGTATTCACCGACCTCCTAAGCGTGGGCTCTGTGCATGCTGGGCAGGGCTAACTCTGCGTGTACGAGAAGACCGGGACAACATCTGTCCTTTGCAGTAGTGCAGCAGAAGCTTCCTACCATGGAGATTAGAGTGATTTCCCTGAACATACTGTTTTTATTTGTAGGCAGGTTTCAGAAAGGTGTGTCTGTGGTGGCACATTTCTCACGCATCATAGTTTTTGCATTCTATTGATTGTTTGCTGTTTTGGAAGGTTTATGTAAAACAGGGCCTTTATGAAAATGATTATTTAAAATAACTTTAATGACATTTTTCACTTGATAAAAACTTTAGGGCCTTTTTACCTTTAGCTGTATGAATCATTGTAGGTGAAAAAAAACGCTAACTTTTTTCACTAAGTTTGCATTCAGAGCAAGAATCTTAAATTATGGCCACATAACAGCAATAATAAAACTTCAGGAAAATATTTGTACTTGAACATCCTCGAGATTTCAAAACTTCGTAAAGCCAGGGTCTCATTTTTCGGGGAATTCCATGTAGAAGGAATCGGACACCCAGCTGACGGCTGGTTTGAACCCAGGTGCCCGGCAGATGTGCAGGATAGGCAACGGCAGCGCTTCCCCACCAACCGCCGTCGATTATTTTGCCAGTCTTTTCTAGAAAGATCAAGAGAAGGGATGGAAATAGAGGTTTCTCTTTCTTCTGTTGAGTAAGCAGGCAGGCAGGAGCCGCTGTAGGGCTCTCTGGGGATATGAAAAGGGCAGGGAATATCACACTTCAAGTCAGCGCGATGTTTAGTCACTGCTCATGTAAGCTGAGTTTTGCTGGCAGCCAATCAGCAGAGACGACTCTATCCCGCTGACGACCCTCCGAGCTATAAACTGCTGCTACCCTATTTCAAGCTCTGAATTTTAATTTATGTGATGAAAAGAGCGCACCAAAATAACTTAGAAATAAGCCTGCTAGATGTGCAGAGTCACTGGTGGCGATGTTGATCCCTCTGTTCCCTGGGCAAGACCACTGCTGAGGAAAAGGTCCCTGGGAAGCTTCTTTTAATAGTCTCTGGTGCAGGCTGCCTGGAGGGGCTTTGGGAAGAAGCTTCTGGAGGTTCACGGTCTGGGTGTGTGCACCTGTAGTTGCCCTTGGTAATGGATCTGGGAGGTGATCCATGAAATTGGCCAGGAAATCTTCATGGCAAGAGAAATGGTAGCTTTAATTAAATGAAGTTAAGAAAATGAATTTTAAACAAGGGAGGCATGATGCTGGCCAGCTGAGCCCCAGAATTTCTCAGCTCTTAATTTAAGGATGCATTTGTATTTTTGGGGTGAATGAAACTGGAACTGGCTCGTCTCCCTTTCTGCTTTTGTTTTGGTGATCACTGTTGGATTACTGGTTCTGTTTACTCTTAACGTGGTCCTTTGATTTGCTTTTTTTGGTGTGAAAACTTCCAGCTGCTGTGCTCAGCCTGAACTACCATTAGCACAGGGTAATAATGGAGCAATTAACTACAATTAACGTGGAGTAATAATGAAGCAGGAGAAGAGAGTGCCCTGCCAAGGTGTTTTATAAAGAGCCCGACACTACACTCTTCACAGCGGAGTTGTTGCCCAAATGCTGTACGTACCGAGCCGTCTGCTGGTGTTACCTGCTGCTCCCCGAACCGCAACCCTCCTCCTGCAGCAAATGCTGCTTCCACGTTAGGGTGCGGATGGAATCTGGTGAAAACTGCTTCCCATCGTGTCTGAACGGCTTCATCTCCAGGGAAAAGGGTTTCAAAACCGGAGCAGAGTTTCCTAAGCTCTGGTGCCGTTGCAAGCTGTTGAAAGTGGTATCCCGCCTCCTCTCTCTTTCAGCCAGAGAAAAAAATGTTGTTTTTTCACTGCTGTTTTCCAAAAATGCTTTGAAATCTGCTGGCATCCACTAATTTTGAAAATGAAGTAGCTAGAGTTATTTCAGCTTTTCTAGTAGAAAGGAGAAGTGAAAAGAGTTGGGAAAAATCTCAAAAGGCTTTTTAGCAGAGAGAGATTTTTTTCAGCTGTCTCCTTCCTTCCT